CAACTCATCATGAGAAATAATTATATTGTGTCATGCTCAATATAGGTAAAAATTATCTTTAAACCATTCTGGAAGTATATTAGTGAAATCTAATTTTACATTTTTCAAGAGAGGGAGATCAAAATCTATTACTTCTTTTAGTTTGGAAGAAAATTAAGACAAGTGATCGCTACTTTCAACATAAAGTTGACTTAAGTAACCATACACTGCTAATAATCTTAGGGTAATTGAGTAGGTTTTCTGCTTATGCTCTAAATATAGTTCTCTATATTCTACCGTGTTAATGCTAATAATTTTGGAGTAATTGAATAGGTTTTCTAGTTATGCTCTAAATGTAGTTCTCTATAGTCTACCATGTTAATACTAACTAAATAAATAGTATAATGAGAACAACTTTTAGTAATAATTTTGATACCATGTTGTAGATTATTTTTCAAATTAAAAAGAAATGCTTGGATATATAACTGAAGGGGTGTGTTTTTCTCATATTCTAATTGTAGGGGCTTTTTTCTTCCGGCAGCTATTACAGGTCTGGGCTGTCGTAAATAGCAAAATTGATGAAATTGCCCCTTGAGCCTAAGTTCGAAGATCAAACCCCAAAAATGCTTCGAAAGGATAGTGAAGCCTTAGGAAACACCTTGGTTACCTTCACCAACAAAAATAACAAGTGCTTACAGATAAATTCTTGGCTTGGCATGAGAGCTAAGCATTCATGAGTTTAGCATGAGAGAGAGAAATGGCTGTGATTTCTTATGAGAAACAGAGTTTTTAAGGCATGGGAAAAGGGATTCTAAGAGGATTCGTTGAGGAGAAAGAGGGGGAGAGAGAGATAAAGGCAATGGGTGTTTTTCCTACAGCTTGACAGAGGCTTTGTCAAGTGTTAGAACAGCTTGCCAAGAGGGAAAACTAAGGAGGAGGAAGATGAACTGAGCACGAAATTGCAGAGTTTCAGAGATGAGAGATGAAGCTTGCTCTCTAGATGTGGGTTGTGATGATGGGTAGGAAATGCCTCTTTTTATAGGCGCTGGAAGCTACTGTTTTCCAAGAAATCCTAATGGTTTCTATCTAATTTGGCCAACTTTCCCTTCCTTTCTCCCCTCATCCCTTCAATCATCTTTCTTTCTTCTTTTCTCCCCATCTTTTATGGCTAGATCTGATGGGGGAAAGAAATGGGTATGTACAGGATTTTTGGGAGCTCAAGACCCCTTTCCAGCAACTGTTTCAGTGGGAGACTCCTATTTTCAGCTATCTTTCTTTCTTCTTTTCTCCCCATCTTTTATGGCTAGATCTGATGGGGGAAAGAAATGGGTATGAACACTGGTTTGAAAGGTGGTTTGCTCCAGTATCCCTTGGTTTTCCTTGGTTTTTCTTATGGCTTGCGTTGGGTTTGTCTTTGGCCATGTACTGGAGATTCTCAGTAGTCTGCATATGTGAGTGGCTTTTGGTTTTTGTCATGGTTTTGTCTCCAGCCATGTGCTGGAGACTTTCAAATATTTTGTTGGTCACTTGGGCAATTCTTTAAGGAAATTAGCTAGTTCACTAAAGGGATGAGCCAACTTCCCAAAGTGATGAGCTATTTTTCTAAAGTAATGGGCTATTTTCTCTCATTTATGCTTACCCACATATTTGGGCTCAAGAAATGAGCTTGAGTTTCAGGGCTCCCAAGCAGCCCAAAACTTCCATTTCTCGGCTCATCAATGGGCCTCATGAAAACTCGTAACCATCCATACCACAACCCGCTCAGCAAGCCCCAGCGTGGCTTGGGCCCACTTAAGCTTGTAGCATGACGTGTTGCTTATTTGCTTGGCGTGGCATGTGTGCAAACGTATATGATGAACTCTTGGGTACCCAAATTGGGTTTCTTCCCAAGTTATGTGTCGTACTGGGCCGGAAATTTATTTGGGCCCAACCGTGGATTTTTTGGGCCTCAATACTAATATAATCATATGACCTCTAATATCTTCTGGTAAAAACCTATACCTTTCTTTTGCTAAGGTTTGAAGAAAATATGGATTTTTAGTTGTTTGTTTTAAAAATATCCTTAAATCCAACTAATTATGTAATAGTTACTGTTAAGGAAATCTTATGTAATCACTTATTTAAGTTATTTATGGGCAAAACCAATTGTTTTAATTCATGATCATGTTATCTTATGAAATATGAAACAACTAAAGTCTTAGGAATATATAAGTGGATATGAAAACTATGTAATGAGATTGCATACACCGGAAGCTTATCATGATCCCTAATTCTAAACATGTTCCTGGTCATAGGAGTATCAATTGGACATTGATATTCCGCCAAGACCAGTACACACAATATCTTCTCTATATGTAGAGAATAACGAGGTATCAAGTCATTAAGTGTAATGACACCAAGATATATGTGTAGGTGCTTGCAGGAGAAGAAGTACATTGAACGTTGTTTACACCATAATCAACCGAGCGTATCCAGCATCAAAGCAACTAGCACCAAGAGCATCAACACCATGACACGTGTCACCACCACAGTGACTTGTGCAAAGTCCCACATCGGAAATCTACACAAACCCAAAATTAAAGCATCATAAATACCAGCTTTCTTCCAATGGCATTCATACCTTGGAGAGAGAGTCGGTCAATCCAGTCTGACCACTTCACACAACTATTCATCCCTTCACTGGAAGGATATGATTTGCTCAGATTCTTGATGACCCAGGAATGAAATGTTAGAGAATGATTACAATGGCAGAGTGGAACTTCGACATCTTCCTTAAAAAGCTTAGCCATATCCTCAAGAACTTTCCTAAACCAGATAGGACCCAGAACGAGAGCATTTCCAAGCAAATGAAGGATATTTGCATCCAAATTCTTCTTAGAATATGGATGAAGCTTGCTTCTAATCTCAATAGCATGTTTGTTGACACCTTCGCCTGAGATATGAGGAGGAGGGAATGAAGAAGAAGAGCTTCTAGCACGAGTTTTTGGGGAGGCCATGGTAAATTTCAGGCAGAATTGAGGAGAGGTTTGAAAATTTTCAAGAAAGTCAAGAAATTTTGGGATTAATCGAGAATTTAAAGAACTTAGGTTTGATGATTTCATCAAACAATGAAGAAATCAGTTTTATAATATGAAGGAAGGAGATTGTGGGAGGAGAAGAGATGCCCAGAATTATGTAGCCATTAATACCCACTTTCCCAAAACATCCAATCAATGAACAGATGTGAGCTAAAGTAATGGAACAAAATGGCGCGCATCATTAAATGGGTTTATCATTAAGTTTGAAAATCATTTTTAACAAAACGATTCAGACTTAGGGCCAGTTTGGCATTGCTGTGCTGTGAAAATAATCACTGTCAGATTTGCTGTAAGAGAAATCAGCTGTGAGATAAAGCAGTTTGGCGTTTGGTAAATTTTTTGTTAAAAGTGTTGTTGGTATTGATTTTACGCATAATCAAAAAATGATTGCCGCATAATCATTAAACCCAATGCCTCTTTGAAACTGATTCATGCATAATCAGAAAATGAAAACACCTCATTAGCTGCTTTCCCTTATAGCTTTCTCTCACAGCATAGGGGAGCATTGTTTGGGCCTAAATTATGTGTGCTAGCCCCATTGACTATCAGGCTTTCTCTACAAATAGTGTATGGGCCTTATTTTCTAAAAATGAAGAATAGTCCATAGTATTCAAAAACAGGTGGGGTAAAATTAAATCAATCACCCAAAGTTATTTTGACAAATTGGGAATTAATAACCACCAATGGTAATTTGATCCAAGACTCAAAATTAATTGATTTAATATTTACCCAGTTCACAATGTTTCTAGCTTAAGGGAATTAATCACTGCCGTTGGTGACTAACTCAAAATCAAATTGGTAAGTTTGAAACTAGAAATAGAGCCGTCAAATTATTCTTCACCATAATAATTTTTTTTTTCCCATTGAAATACGAAAGTCCACTTTTAATTGTTTTTTTGGGGTATTACATCCTACCCTCCTTAAAAGAAAATTCATCCTCAAATTTAAGTACTTTACTCCTCGTATGAATTGGGTTGTCTAGTTCTCATTTCATACTCTCAATTCCGCAAGCATTCTTTTTCCTCATAATCATTATATCTATGAAATCCTCCATATGTATGTTTCATGATCTCTTTAATCTGATCACTTAACGTACAA